TTTAAAAAAAATCTGGGAGACACAGCCAGGCAGTGAGATCATGGGCTGGGTTTATGAGACCAGGGTGCATATCTGTGGCCCCAAACACCAGCCCCCACCCACCCACAGTGCTGGAGGCTTACGGACTTCCCTGGGACCAGATCACACTCTACCCCAGCACTACTACCTATCTGCTGCCACTTGGTGGGCAAATGAATGTTACTCTGCCTCTCAGGTCTGAACCAACAGGAGAGGCCTAAGGAGGTTCCTGGCCATTTGCAGTTCCTGCTCGCACCCCAGACTCCAATACAAACCTAACAGGTAGGTTCAGAGTCCCTAGCACAGCAGCCTCTACCCCAGCCACAATGGCCTTTCGTCTTCCCCACCTGCCTGGTTCTCTGTCCTGGGTTCCACTCGGACTTGACAGGGCTGTCTCCATCTGAGCTCACTGATTCACCCCATGTCTCTGCTCAGGGGCATTTCCCAAAGGATCTAGTATTCAGCCTCACTACTCCCCCACTCAAGGTACAATACTGGGGTAATGCGCGGGAAAGGACAAGCCAAGAGGGAGTCAGACTGGGCTCAGACACCCCTCCGCCCCCAAGCGTGGGAGCTGGGTCCCAACCGCCCACAGACAAAGCCTCGCCTAGCCTGGGGGAGGGGTGGGAAGAGACTCCGAGGCCCAAGAGGCACCACCCCCCCATTCAAGTGCTAATGAGCTCCAGCCGGGTATAGAGGGCTGGGGGAGAAAATGTCAGCGCTGGAGGCCCACTTGGGTACCAGCCCTCCAGGCACCTCGGGCTCTGACACACTTCCAATCCTAGACCCCTAGGTTGGGTCTGAGATCCCACAATAGTCTGTCTCTCTACTTGGTACAAACTCTTTGCACACCTTGGTCTCCCCACTTGCTGTGAGCAGCTGCCCAAGATCAAGGGAGAAGCTTCCCTGGGACACCCATACTGAGGGCTGGAAGGATGCTCAACTCTGCAGGACCCAGCAGCCGGCCCCTCACTCATTTTCTCCTCTCCAAGGTTTGGTGCACTGACCCCACAACACTCATGGCTGCAGAAGGGCACCCAGGTCCCCAGGTTGTGGGTGGAGGAAGGATCCTGCTAGAACTCCGTCTGAAGCAGTTTTCCCAGCTGGCATACTAGGTAAAGCCAGAATTCAAACTCAGGCTTTTGTGACTCTTAAGGTGAGCCAGCAAGGTGGACCTTTCCCCCAGGCCAGAAATATCCACTAAGATCTTGAGATCCAGACCAGTTCAACTGTCTCAGTGCTCCTGCTGAGTCAGTACCCCTGTCCACGGTTGGTGCCAATTTTCAAGGCCACCAGAGGATTCCTCCTCAGGAAGCCACCTTTACAAATGTCCGAGAATCTCCCTACCCATCAACTAGCCAGGATCCCAAGTTAGCCCCCCTACCCACCTGCTGCTAGACCAGGCTCAAGTGGCACCCCAGGATACTATCCCTCTCCCCAGGATACTATCCCTCTCCCCAGGGATTATGCTGCGTTCATGGACATGTTCAACAGCTTCATTGTTTCCACACATACTTAATATGCATCTTACAGTAAGCCAGCCTTTTTCTAGAGGGACACAGACAGGATAATGTCACACAACTCTCTTTTCATTTGGTAAACTTACTTGAGCCCTTGCTTTGCACAGCAGTGTGCTAGCAGGCCTACAGGGCCAGGGGCATAGCTCAGGTCTCAGTCCCGTGGCTCTGAGGCTGTTCTGGAGCTCCAGAGGCTGTTCAGACAGCAGCCCCAAGGGAATTCAAAACAGCTCGGGAGATGAATACAAAGTGATCCTCCCTCACCAACAGTTGAGTCCCTACTGTGTGCTGTGCCCTGGTACAGGCTGCAGCATGGGCACCAAGAGTTCTGCAGGGAATGCTGGAGGCTGTCCCTCTCTACCCACAAAGCCTGTGCCAGGGCCATGAAGAAACAGCCTAAAGAACTTTTTTCTCAAGTGCCCACCCTCTCCATCCTCGTCACTGACCTACAAGGAGACCTGGCCACCTGCCATTTGTATGCCAACTGAGACCTCTGCCTACCCATCCCCCAAACCAAGTTGTATGGGTGCAGAGTCCATTCATTACACAAATGAGAAGCACCCAAAAGGTGCCTGGTTGCCTGCTAGGCAAAGGAATGAAAAGCCTGGCCCATGAAGGGACAGCAGCAGCAAGCCAATACAGTGCTCTGATGAAGGAAGCAGGGGTGCTCAGAGCCAGAGGTGCTTCACTGGACTCTGTGGAGATCAACAAAGGAACCTGGGGGAAGCTTCCCTGAGCCCAATGTTACAGATCAATCAATCAGGTAGGTAGGGAACAATAAAAAGTGCCAGGAAAAAGCAGAATTGCTGTACCTACTCTCTGAAGCCTTCCTGGAGCCCAATGTCCCCCCCCCACACCTTTCTCTGTAAATCTGGCCATGAAGACCCCAAATTCCACTCACCAGGGCTTGTCAGTCAGGTTAAACTGGTAGGGTAAGGATGGAGGGAAACCATGGAATGGGACTGTTATGGACTCTGCTCTCATCAAGCTGCCAGGAAAAACTCTCTTCCCAGTGTGTAACATCTGCCTCTGCCCTGGTGACAGTGACTGTGCCTGCTAGCTGGCAAGGCTACAAAGAAGAGGAGGGAGTCTGTGTGCGGGCAGGGCAGCAGGCGTGGTTCTGGCTGAAGAAAGGTTGGCACTTGCCCAGCCTAAGTCCCGTTGCCTGGACAGAGTTTCCCCGCTACATGGGACAGGCGCCTAAAACTCAACCTGCCACAGCTGGGCTCCCATTACCACTTTACTCCTGGATGGGTAAAGGGTGGCTTGAGCCAGGACCCCTTCCCAGGCCACCATGGCAGACTGGTACATGAGGACTAGGTTCTCAGTTTCAGGCAGAGCTTGGTCATTCAACACCTGCAGCACACTCTCTTCGGGGTCTTAGCTCCACCCTATACCAGCAAAAATCTCCCAGAGGGTTCTGTCTGCTCCATCCTTAAGCCCCAGCAATCCTCTGGACCAAACCCAGGAAAACCATCTCAAAGAGGAAGCAAAGGCCTGATGGGCAGGATACTAGGCTGGCTGCTAGGTCCCACCTGGACTGGCCTAAAAGCTGAGCAGGGCTCCACGGGGCAGGCCTGTCCAGATAGGGAACCCTTCTGGTGTCAGGGCACAGGAAGGCCAGGAGCTGTGGCCGGGGTCTGTCCCACATCTCCTCAGCCTTCACAGTAACTATGATCAGCCTGGGGAGGGGCTGGCAAAAGGCTCTGCCCTGGGCACTGGGAGACAGCGGTCCCGGAAGTGCCCTCCCCAGGCCCAGCAGCAACGGGCATTCCGCCGCGTCCACACCCACTCACTGCCTGCCGCACTCCCAGCAGAGACAGGAAGAGGCAAGCGCCCAACGCAAAGCAGCCCAGGAGGCTGGGCCGCCGCCCCTTCCCGCCCCTTCTCTTCCTCCCCGCCGCAGCGGTGAAGCGGATGCCATTTTGAAACCTCCGGGGCTGTGCCCCTGAGGCCAAGCCTGCCGGGACAGTCAACAGATGGACGCATAATGGACATACATGCTGTTCCTCTGCCACAAGCCCAGTAAAAACACCCCCACTTTTCACAGCCTGGAGGCTGTAAAGCAGCTTGGGAGCTGAGGGACCACACCCCCACTCACGTACTCTTCAGCCTACAAAGCTGCTTGCTGCCAGGCCCCTCTCCTTCCCCCAACCTTGGGACTCCCCAAATCCGGCCTCCACAGGGAACTCCTCCAGCTCTCTGTGGGAGGCTGGACAGGGAAAATCACCAGGCCCTCTGTCTTTGCAGAAGACCAGCTGGCCTGGATGCTCCAAGGCACACTGGCCCAACCCTAGCTCCTCAATCAGCAAGCCCACTACTTTCATAGGGCTTTGAGATCCAACAGGCCCACCCACCCTCAAAGGCTACATCCAGCCCTTTTTCCAGAAAAGGGGCAGGAAACTCAGCACCCTCAGCAAATCATCTGTCTGCCCACAAGGGCAGCAATATGTCGGCTGTCTCACCACTTCCACTTCCCCCCACCCCTCTAACAGCCACCATCTTCCTTGGCCTTGGAAAGGCCTACAACCCCAACTGGTCTACGCTCCCCTTTACTTTCCAGACTGCCCCCTAGCCAGAGCCCAGGCAGGCCTTCAAAATTGGGAAATACATTCCAGGGAGCAGATCCTCTCAGGGAAGGTTAAAGCCTCAGCCTCTCTCCCAGGGGGACCAATGGAGCTTCAGTACACCCTAGCCCAGCCTAGGCTCTCTTTAGCTCCCGCTTCTCTCCTCCCAGCCTGGTCCACTTGGTGCAGGAAGGGTGGTGGGATCTGGAGAAGGCCAAGGTGCAGGGGAGGGTCTGAAAGTGACGTCTGCCTTAGGAGTCTGGTGGTCAGGAGCTGGCTCTGATTGGTTTCATCTAGACAGAGCTCAAGAAAACCTTCCCATTTGAGAGGTCCCATGGGTGGGTGGGGGGGGGGTCTATGTATACAAGTGGGGCATGCAGCTTCAGGATTAGGGATAGGGTCCAGAAGGAGGAGAAGGGAGTGGACAGGGGCCTGCAGAGGCCCAGGTGATGTTCATGGCCAATAGGAATAGGAGGAACAGGTGGGGGTAAAGGTGGAACTGGAGAGTGCAGACTAAGCAGGGTGCTGAGGTTTGGGTACTCTAGGAAAGGACGAAAGGCCAGGGAGGACCTCAGAGGTCCTTTAAAGCTGCCGAGCAAGGGTGAATGGCCAGGTAGAGTCTGGGCAGCTGGCGTTAGGACATCTCTGCTTGGGTTTGAGTTCTAGGATGAGCTGAAACTCTGAGCTAGAATCTAGCCTAAAATTTGAGATTTAGACCAACCCAAATGTTCCACTCTTATTTAGGGGCTCTGACCAGGCTGCTGGGGGAGGGGGGGGGCTGACCAGAGGTGGAGTCCTGACCCAGCCTGAGTTTGAAGCTTTTCTTGGGAAGGTCAAAGTCTTCGTCTAGGGATTCGGGCCAGAAATCAGCGGTCCCAGATCCCGGCTGTGGCCTCACCTAACAGAAGCAACTTCACCTCCCGCGCCGCCTTCTCGCCGTCCTCGCGCAGGTTCTTGTCTATCATCTTGGAGCGCTCGGCTGCCGCCTTGTCTTCGGCGCTCACGGTGCACCCCATCCCGCCGTCCGCCGGCCCGGCCCCCGCACGGCCCACGGCCTGGCTCGGCCCCGCCCGACCCACTCGGTTCCCACCGCAGGCCCTCTGCGGACAGCTCCGGATGGGCAGTTCCGAGCGACTGCGGGAGGCGCCTTCCCGGCCGGCGCGCGCCGACGGCGGGGCGGGCCAGGGGTGGGGCCCCAGAGAGCCGGACTGGGACTGGGCAGGGGGCGGGCTTGGGGGGCGGGCCCGAGGGAAATTTGAGCCTGGCTATTGGCTAGAGGGCGGAGCAGAGGGGGAAGTCAGCCGCAGCCCGGGCGAGGGACAGCTGGGGGCGGGGCGCGCCGAGCGCAGTCTGCAGTCGCGGCGCTGCGCAGGGGTCCGGAGCAAGGCGGGCTGCGGGCGGCGCCGGCTGCGATTGGCGTTGGGTGCCTGGCATCGCGGGGTGGGCGGATTTCGTAGCCCGAGGGTGGGGACGCGAGCCCCAGCCAGCCGAGAAGAAACCGGTCCTTGGAACTTCAGGGAGTCGGGTGGTTAGGTTGGAGGTGTGCCTTCATCACTTGTTAATGAACCCTGTAAACTTGTTTTGGGATCTGCTTAAACTAGGAGGCGATAAGGCCGCCTAAATTTTTCCCCTTGCTTTCTCTGGATGGCAGCAAATAAAAAATAAAAGCAATCGATTGCCATGTCCACACTTTGTCTAAGCAGTTTCCCATAGATGGATGCCCTTTGTAGTCAACCGAGGCTCATTTATCCTTCCCTGGTCTGTCGAAAAGCATTGTCCTGGAGGCAGCCATCCTGGACTCTAGCCTGGGACCGGGCTACCAGGACTGAGAGGGAGAAAGAAGGCACCACTGGATTTGTGAAAACGGAAAGTCACCGCGATGACGGTTTGTTCGTTTGTTTTTGTTTTATTAAGACAGGGTTTTTTCGCTTTTTGGCACAGCATGACCTCAGAGATTCACCTACCTCAACCTGCTGAGTACTGGAATTACAGATAGGTCTGTGCCACCATGCTCTGCTAAAAGTCACTATGATTTTATGACCTGTCCCTTCTATGGTCTGTCCACCAGTGACTTGGTTCCTGAGCTGCCTACCTGGGTTCCAACTTGACTTCCTGGCCTTAGCCTCTCAGAGTGCCAGGATTACAGGTGTGCTCCATCATGTTTGGCTTTCAAATCTTTTTGATCTGCTTTCCAGCTGGAATCCACAATCCCAATCTTTTTAAAAAATTAATTAATTAATTATTTGGTACAGCGTCTCCAGCTATGCGTTCAGACTTGTAGTGATCCTCCTGTTTCAGCCTCCCCAGTGATGGGATTACAGGCATGCATCACCACACCTGGTTTCAATGGCGCACCAGGGGTTCCGGGGCCAGCACAGTGTGCAGTACTGGGGATTGAATCCGGGTCTTTGCGCTTGCCAGGCAGGCTTTTAGGCTGCCGAGCTATCTCCCCAGCCCACAACCTCAGTCTTTTTTTTTTTTTTTTTCAGAACTGGGGATTGAACTCAGACCCTTGGGCTCACCAGGGAAGAGCTTATTCTACTGAGCCATCTCCCCGGCCCCACAACCTCAGTCTTAATTGGACATTTGAAGGGTCTTCTAAGAACTCCCCAGGAAGGTGTCCTGTGGGCCCAGTGCCATGAGCCCAGGTGGCCCCATCCTAAAGACAGGCAAGTTTCCCAAAGCCAGCTGGGGAGCTTGCCAGCAATACAGGTGGTTCACAGTCCCCTGTTCAGTACAGCTTCTCCTCCTTCCTACCTTGCCACATCTGTTATTCTAGCTCCCACTTTGCAGTCTGCCTGCTTTCCCTGGAATGTCTGTGTATCCCTATCTCAATGTCTCCCTTGTACTGGCCCTGGCCTATAATCCTTCAGTTGTTCTCCTAGGGTTCCTCCTGCTCAAGTCAAAGTTCAAGCAGGCCCTGCCATGGGCATGCAACAAACAGGGCAAAAAGATGTAATGCCTACTAGGGACATAGAAATATGCTCTATATAAACCCAGCTACAGGCCTAACCTCCAACATGTCCCAGATGCAAAGGGTACACTATATGTGTGGACAGACAAAGCCAACAGCACAGTCTGTCCATGTAAATATTGCAAGCCCAGCTCCAAGGCAGACCCCTCCCCCACGAAATGGGAGGCTCCTCAGCCTCCTGGGCCTGCTCCTAGCAACAGCCAACAGCTCTCTCAGTTGCCAAGCAACAGAAAGAACCTGTCAGCCCCTCGGAGGCCCAGCTTTAGGGAGGTGGGCAGGACTCAGACCCCAGTCTATAGAGGTGGGGCAGGATGGGGCTACTAGGGGCCATGACCTCCAGCCACAAAGAGAACTGGGGTTCTTGCACTCTTTCCACCAGTCAGCTGCTTCTTTCAGTCTCGTGTTCTTTCTTCCTAGAAAGTCCAGCAACCCCTCTTCCAACCCTCGAACTGCTCCATGGGATTCCTGAGGCTATGGCAAGGTCTTTGTTTGGCACGTAAGTCACGCACTTCCCACACCAGAGGCTCAGAACCCCACAGTCCACCCTCTTCCCTGCCTGACAGCCCCATGTGCTTCACTGGTCTGCAGTTCTCTAAGGCACCTTGGATGCCTTAAATAGACTGCCTGAAACTGAGTACCCCACACACTGGCTCTAGCTCCTAGGCTTACAACCATTTTGTGGCCCTTCCTACCAGCCAAAGCCCTGACTCTTCACCCCATCCTTACATACTATTAGCACCCCCATTTCTGTTCCAATCTGTTCCTGTCCTGTGTCACACACACACACACACACACACACACACACACACACCCCATTTTAGACTCTAGCCTTTTCCCTGGCTCTAATGTTTCTCCTAAAGACATTTTTCACTTGGAGCCAAATTGATCTGCTTAAGAAATCACATTACTCTATTATTTACAAATCTCTGGCTCCCTAGTGCTCTAAGGATAAAGCTTATATGTACTGGTTTGAACGGCACAGTAGGCAGAGGTAGTAAAGTGTCAGAAGAAAGGACCTTGGGAAGCAGTCTGTAAATTTGCTGGCTGTGTGTTACTTTGGGTAAGTACCAGAAACTTCCTGTACCTCAGTTTTATTATCAGTAAAATGGATCTGATAGCTATATCTAACAAGCATAGCACAGCCTGAGGTGTTGGGAAGGGGGCTGGCAATAAGAAAATGGTTAGGGGGCCAGCGGGCTAGCTCAGAGGATTAAGCTTATATGTAATCTTATACATCTTATATGTAACCCCTGTGCTGGGATTACAGATGTGCTTGTAATCCCAGCACATGGGAGGCTGAGGCAGGAGGATCACCCATAAGCTTGAGGCTAGCTGGGCTACATAGGCCAACTTGAACTATACAAATGATGTAGCTGAGTAGAAAGGCTCTGCGTTCAATCTTTGATGCAACAAAAACAAAATGAAAACAACAATAAATAACAAATAGAAACTCGGTACCTGGGGAGACCAGGAGCCATCTTTCTCTTTTTTTTTTTTAAACTTTATTATTTATTTATTTATTTATTTATTTATTTATTTATTTTTTAGAACCGGGAATTGAACTCAGGCCCTTGCGCTTGCCAGGCAAGTGCTTATTCTACTGAGCCATCTCCCGAGGCCTTTAAAGTTGTTTTTTGTTTTTGCAGAACCAGGGACTGAACTCAGGCCCTTGCACTTGCGCTTGCCAGGGAAGCGCTTATTCCACTGAGCCATCTCCCTGGCCCTGCATTTTAAAGGTTTTTTTGATGTTCATGTTAGAATATTTCATTAAACCAAGTGTGGTAGCACATACCTCTAATCTCAGCACTGGGGAAGCAATGCCTGGAGGACCATTGTGAGTAGAAGGCCACCCTGGGCTACTAGTGAGACGCTATCTTGAAAAAATACATATTACAATTTTTTGTTTGTTTACTTGAATTTGCCTTTTACCTACTTCTCTGGTATTGAGATTGACCTGTTTACTTATATAGTTTTGGATTTTTTTTTTTTTTTAGATAGGCCTTGCTGTGACGTTCAGGCTGGCCTTAAACTCATAGGTATGCACAATCACACCTAGCCAGGGCACTTCTCATAGAACTACATCTTTAGTCCTTTTATTTATGTATTTATTTATTTATTTTTGGTGGAACTGGGCATTGAACCAGCCCCCAGTCCTTTTATTTATTTATTTTTTAATTTTTATTTTTGGCGGAACCAGGGATTGAACTCAGACCCTTGTGCTTGCCAGGAAAGTGTTTATTCTACTGAGCCATCTCCCCAGCCCCCCTTTTATTTTTTTTAACTTTTAAAATTAATTAATTAGACGGGCTGGGGAGATAGCTCAGTAGAATAAGCACTTCCCTGGCAAGCACAAGGGTCTGAGTTCAATCCCCAGTTCTGCCAAAAAATAAATAAAATAAAATAAAATAAAATAAAATAAAATAAATTAGGGGCCAGGGAGATACCTCAGTAGAATAAACGCTTACCTGGTAAGGTCCTGAGTTCAATCCCTGGTACCGCAAAACAAAACAAAACAAAACCACAGTTTAGGGCTGGCGGTATAGCTCAGCGGACTAGGCACTTGCTTAAGGAAGCGCAGGGCCAGGGTTCGATCCCTGGCAATGCATGCTGTGCCAGCCCTGCTCTCAGGCGCACTGAGCCATGATGGAGTCTGGGCAAGGTGGCGCACACCTGTAATCCCAGCACTGAGGAGGCAGAAAACAGGAGGATCATTAGGAGTCCAAGCTACATAGTGAGACCCTGCACACATACACAAATTTTTTTTTTTTTTTCCCTAACAGTGATGGAACTCGACCTTGCACTTGCCAGGCAGATGCTTACACTGCTGAGCTATCTCCCTGGTCCTTAGCCCTTTAAAAAAAAAATAAGTTGTTACTCTGAGGTAGAGTCTCAAGAAGTCACTAAACTACCAAAGTGGAACTCAAACTTGTGATCCTCCTGCTCTAGGGGTAAGAGTAGTTAGGAAGAATATTCCAGAAAGAGGAAACAGCACATGCAAAGTAGGAACACAGAGAGGTTTGTGGAATGGTCAGAAAAGAAAAGAAAAAAAAAAAAAAAAAAAAAAAAAGAATCTAGGGCCATGGCTAGAGAAAGCTCTCACTTTGCAGCTAAAATGACCAAAGCCCCGAATGGCCAGTCCCCATCCACAGCCATCCAGTGCAGCACAGCAAAGGTAT